GGATTCCCTCCCTGCAGAATATGGAATTTTCCTTTTAATGTTTTTGGCCTACGGTTGACTGCAGGTTAACTGAAACCCTGGAAAGTAAATTGGGGGATGGAGGTCTACTGAACCTCAGCTGAGTGAGTCCTAGTGTTTTCCATTTTAGGAAAACAACAAATTGTTCACGCTAGCATGCTAGGAATGGTAGATTTTATAAAGTGCATAGCCTATGAGAAATGTCTGCAAGATAAAAATAGAACATCCCTGAGTCTTTACTACGAAAGCATGCTACTATATCGTGCAGATCCTCAGTGTCGAAGAGCAGGGAAGACCGGGATGTGCACCTCTTTTCTGCTTGGAGAGCAATACAGTGTATCATAGCCATATTTCAGTGGAAGGAGGTGGACCAATAGGACGTACTTTATCTATGTTCTTTACAGAATAAATTACCTGCTTAGGCACTAGCTGGCATAAGATTCGCTGTTCTTTATGTTTCTAAGGATTCAATAATCACAGATTTAGCAACTCTAAATAGCCAGACTTGCTTTTCCATGAAAGGATTCAGGAGATATGCAAAGATGTCTTTGTAGCAAATCTTACACTGTAAGGGCTTATTGTAATCCCTTGAAAAGAAAAGTCACATTCCAAATGACCTCTGGGTGTAGTTTCTTGGCAGGGTGGGTGAATAACCAAAGCCCCAGCATCCAGAGTCTGGACTGCCACAACAGTAAGAGACTCAGGTGCTGCAAATCCTCCCACAGGAAATGGAGAAAGGGGACATAATTTTAACCCTCAGCTAGCAAATGCCCTCTTCCTTCTTTGGGGGCTCTTCATTAAGACCCAAATTAACAAGGCATCACTGGAAATAAGGCACAGTGAGAGTTCCCTGGAACTCCCCAGCCATGCCGGCAGAAAGCCTGCCGTCACAAGAGCAGAGTCACCCTGAAAATCGAGAGGCAGAAGGGGAAAGGTCGTGGTAACCAAATGGGAAGCTCCACGGCCCCTGAAGAGGGAACCGCGTGGACGTCATGAGCAAGGGCTTGCTCACAAACAGGCAGCTCAAGAGCCCCACAGCCATCTTGGACAACTGCAGCTTCCTGCAAAATCTCTCCCATATGGTACAGCATTTGCAATGTGTTTATTTTCTTATGTCAGCCTAAGAAAATCTCAAAAAAAATAGTACTGAAGGATAAACCCAAGAGGCAAGTGAACAAAGAGGCAGAATGGTGGCAGAACAAGTGTGGACAGCATGAGATCTGTGCCCTTCCATGCTCAGTGCCTCTGGGTAACAGATTAACAGTAGGCACAAGCCTCCACACTTACCATCAAAAACTCCAGCATCAACTGTTTCCACCCTACAGATACATCTGCAGGCCGTCTGAAGGCAATCTGAAAAGCCATCCCTGCTTGCACATCTCTACCCATTTACTCAAAGCATTCAAGCTTTTCAATTTTAAAATAATCTCACTTCCTTAATACAAAAAAATTACAAAATACTTTATAGGGCATCATATTTCCCATATTGGTTACAGAGTTTATGCAAGACTTCAGTTAAACTGAATTTCCCATATTGCTTATGGAGACCATGGAAGGGCTTAGTGCTTTTTTTTTTTAAAAGACAAGTGATCTTAAAGGTGATGTCTTATGGACAGCATATAGACCCCAGTACCACCTGGGCAGGGTTACATGGTAGCAGCATGGAGTGCCATGCCTCCATGGCCAAGCATCATTCCACAGCAAAGACTGTAGGGAAATAGCTATGCTCAAAGGCTTATCAAGCCTGAGTCCCTGCCAGGGCTGTCAAAAAAATCTACTCTAACAAACTGCCAATGGGGCAGTTTTCTCTTTTGAACCGAAGCGATTCTAAAGACTCCCAGGGTTCATGAGGCAGCATCTTTGCTCCCACTGGGAACCCAAGCAAAAAGTCTTTATGTTCTTTCTACTTTATCATCCAATTCGTTGCAGGGTTTCACTGCTCCTGCTATGAAGAGAGCACACCACAGCAGAGGAAACACCGCCACAGCCAACTGCATGCTTGACTGAAAAACAGTTGAGTACAACAGTCAGCAGAATGACTGCAGGGGGTAGAGGGAATAAATATATCAGAGAACTTTCAGATGATATTCCTTAGGCAAAGCACTGCCTGGAAAATCCTTTCTCAATACATTTACATCTGTTGTTGCTTAAACAGTCTGCTGTGGCACAGTGGTTAACAGCAAACTCAGGAGCCAGACTGGTTCAAATCCCAACTTTGCCATTTATAGCTGTGTGGTGCTAAGCATGCATTTATTTATTTATTTGAGAAGCAACGAGAAAGAGACAGACCTACGGGGAGAGGGAGAAAGGCTGATAGAGCGCTTCCATTGCTAATTCACTCCTCAAATGCCTGCAACAGCTAGAGCTGGACAAGGTTGAAGTGAGGAGCCAGTTCAATCCAGGTCTCTCAGATGGGTGGCAGATCCCACTTACTTAAGCCATCACCTGCTGCCTCCCAGGCTGTGCATTGTCAGGAAGCTAGAGTCAGGTGCTAGAGCAAGAAATCAAACCCAGGCACTCTGCTAGGCAACCTAGGTGCCTAAACCAGCATCCTAAACAGTAGGCCAAACATCCATGCTTTAGGAATGCCTGTAATAAGTTCTGTGCTTGGTATCCTCATCTGTTACGCTGGGTAATCATTGAACTGTTGTGAAGGTTAAATGTGCTAATACACGCAAAACACTCAGGACAATGCTCAATAAAGTTTTCAATGTGATTATAGCTTAAGAATACCTTTCACGTGTATTATCATAGTGGATCCCACAAGCACTCTATGAAACAGGCACAATCATTTTATCCATGTTTTATCTATCAATATGATAAGACTCAGTTTTCTAAGAACAATTTGTGGTTCAGACAAGATTTGAATTTTGGTCTTTGGACATTAAATGTGGGATTCTTTCCCACTATATCAATAAACTACAGCAAAATGCCATAATACAATATTGACTGACTCTAGATGAATTCAGAAAGGAAGAAAATGATGGAGAACATCATAGCACCTATGCCAGGAATTCATTCTTGGAATAAATATAATTAAATGATCAATTGATGGCAGACTTTAGCAAAGTAGTAAAAGCCAGTTTTTACAGTTTTTAGGCACAATGTGTAGAATTTTGAACCACCAAAATTCTGAAATGAAGGGGGAGGAGAAAGATATAAACATGTAATCTTTTTTCTAAATTATATTTTTTATGAAAGTAGGCAAACTCCATCTTGAAAAAACTCAACACATGAAAGTAAAAGAACTACAAGATGGTTGAGTAACTCATCAGAAATGGAACCAGCAAATGACTTATAAGCTCAGATGTGAAGATTACCACTTTATTGCTACCAAGATTGTCAACCCAGCAGTGGGCTTTCCAGTCATTGTCACACTGATGACATTCAAACCACAGCCACCTAGATCTAGAAGTCTCAGAATTTCACTCCTCAGAATCTTTACCCTCATGCAAATTTTATGAGATAGACAGAACACTGGCAAATATAAATGAGCAACTGGAACATATTCCCTTCCACAATGGATTTTCTTTTAAAGCATTTGAATGGAACCCTAGAGGAAGAATTCTTTCATGACTAATACTCTTTCTAGTATTAGCATTCATTTCTAATTCATAGAGTTTGCATGTATTTGCCTTCAAGAACTTGTATGAGTCTTCTATTTAATAAGATCAATCCTTTAGCATATGCATCTAGCTTTGATTTTTATTTTATTTTATTTTATTTTTTTGACAGGCAGAGTGGACAGTGAGAGAGAGAGAGACAGAGAGAAAGGTCTTCCTTTTGCCATTGGTTCACCCTCCAATGGCCGCTGCGGCCAGCGCGCCGCACTGTTCTGATGGCAGGAGCCAGGTACTTCTCCTGGTCTCCCATGGGGTGCAGGGCCCAAGGACCTGGGCCATCCTCCACTGCACTCTCGGGCCATAGCAGAGAGCTGGCCTGGAAGAGGCGAACCGGGACAGAATCCGGCGCCCCGACCAGGACTAGAACCCGGTGTGCCGGTGCCACAAGGCGGAGGATTAGCCTAGTGAGCCACGGCGCCGGCCTAGCTTTGATTTTAAGATGAACATTACTTAAAAATAATTCAAATTACTCCTCAAAATTTAAAAGGGGCACTTTTATAGAGCCATATTAAAACTAAATTGCAGGAGAGATAACATGATAAAAGATCTAATCTTAAACAAAAAGACAATGTTATACTGAATGGCAAGAAAATCACACTGTACATATCGGTTTTTTTTTTTTTTTTAATTCAGCTCAACATCAGAGTTCTGCCAAATCTTTACAAAAACCCACACAAGTCCTTGAAAGGTAACAGTTCCTTGGGGATCATCTGACCAACTCACACTAAAATGTCAACCCACCTAAGTTAACTGATGTCTAACCCATACCCCTAGAAACTACCCTTTCATGTTAATTCTGAAACCATGTTTTCAAGATGAAGATGTATAATTCTCAAGAAATATGCCTCTTTGAAACCATCCAAATGGAAATATACCATTCCTTAGAAATGTATTTTAAAACCCCTAAAACTTAAATAAATCTCATTAGTGAACACCACTGAGACATATAATCATAAAATATTTAGGTCAAAGAAATGATTTTCCTCTAGAGATATTCTTCTATTGGTCACAGTTTCTGGCAACATTTCAATCAAGCTTAAGGTTGAAAGACATTTAACAAAACTGAAAACAAATGACTGAAAAGCATTATTAAGTAAAGAGCAACCGAAAGACAGAAATCCCCAAGTAATCACTTAATCTTCTAAAATAGTCTTTTTTAGTTTCTTTATTTCCTTGGTTAATCCTGCCCACTCTAACCCTAGACTGGCTTAACGTCAACAAGTAGCTATGACTTCATGACCCAGCTCCATCAGCAATTTGAGAAAATGTAGGCTTCAGGTACCCACTGCATGCCACCTATACCCTGGGCAACTGGTTCTTGCTTGTAAGGTCGAATGCCCATCGCCACATCTCTCTTACCTGTTTCCCATCCAGCGTGTACAGGCGTTTCACTACTCCCGAGTCCAGCTTGATGGCATCGGTTATATCAGTGAGGACCTGCTCAAAGGAATGAGCTGTTTTCTTGTTCAGCAGAATCCTAACAGCTTTCCGAGGCTTCACTCCGCTTCTGATGATGGTGACCAGCTTGGGCCGAATGAAATCCTTATTCTCCCTCACCTCGGAAGGGCTCCCTTTGGCAGTGGCCAGTGAAGACACCGCCCGGGAAGCAGAGGTGGTCTTGACGTTCACTGACCAGTTGGGGTTCACATTCTTGGTGTACTCCAGTTTCTTGAAGGGCTCTATAGAGCCACAAACATAACTCTCGCCTAAGAAAGAGGAAGATATTTATATTCACACTACAATAAATGCATTTCTTCTTTCCTACTTAGGCTTTGCATTTCCCTTTCTACTTAGGGGCCATAGCTAGCTGTGACTTTTAAAACAATGGAAGCATAAATCAATAATTAATGAAAAAGATCGATTCCTATCTTCTAATCTGGCTCTGTCAGAAACAGATTGGCATACTGGAGGGAAAAATCATCCCTCTCTTCATTCTCAGATAGGTAACAGAAACATTGATATACCTAAGTCCCAAACAGGTACAAAACTGAGTTACAACTGCAAAGATTTTTTTGAGATTTATGTATTTTTCTTTAGATTTTATTTATTTGGAAGTATGAGTTACAGAGAGACACAGAGAGAGAGACAGAGAGAGAGAGAGAGAGAGATCTTCTGTCTGCTGCTTCATTCCCTAGATGGCCACAACAGCCAGTGCTGGGCTAGGCCAAAACCTGGAGCCAGGAGCTTCATGTAGGTCTCCCACGTGGGTGGCAGAGTCCCACGCACTTGGGCCATCCTCCGCTACTTTTCCCAGGCCATTAGCAGGGAGCTGGATCAGAAATGGAGCATCTGGGAGACAAATCAGCACCCATATGGGATGCTGGTGTCACAGGCAGCAGCTTAACCCACTATGCCAAAATACCACCCCTGGTATATAACTTATATATATATAACTATATATATAACTCTCTCTATATATATACATATATATGAAAACTTTTCAGAAAACTTCAAAATTAAAGGAACTTGTATTTTCTATCTGAGATAACTTAAAAACTAAAAAGGCTCAGAATACTGCTTTATTAAAAGAGCTATATAATTTATAAATTTGATGAGACTTTATGTTAAACATTTTGTGAAGTCAAGTAAAATTCCAAAAACAATCAAAATAATTACCCTTCTTTTTCTACATCTGTATAGTACTGACCATGGAGAGCTACACATACTAGAAATTCATACTTGCCTATACATAAAAGGCTTTAAGAGTGTTCAACATACAAGCCATAGCGTCATAATCTGACTCCAAAATAGATAGAAGTTTTTACTAAAATTACTCAACAGAGAAGCTTTTTAATGAGAATATCCAGATTCTTATGTAGATATGTATCACACACAAAAGAAAGTAACATATGTACCAACAGATGACAAACTGTAAACTGACTGATTATAAATACATTTTTCAGAAAGTTAGCTAAAAGCATTTTCAAATTAAAGACTTCATAGCGGCATTTTCATGTCTTAAGTCTTTGCACCTGAGGGGATAGAAATGCTTACAAAGTCTTCACAATCAGAGGTAAAGGGACCCAGGCCTAATCCAACACAGCTCATTTACTTTTAGATAAATCCTTGTCGTATTTGAAAATTAACAGTGCAAACTAAACATCCAAGGCTACAGGGTAAAACTAGAGTTTTACAAGTTAAAAATAAAAGATATACATGTTATTAATTATTTATTTTGCAAGTGGTTTTGAAATGCACTCTCACATAAACACATACAAATAAACCATCAGCTGCTGCCTTACAGGATCTGCACTGTTGGGGAACTGGTGGGAAACTGGAGATAGGGCCTAGGGCTGAGTATCAAACCTAGGCTCTATGATGTGAGGTTCAGACATCATAGTGGTGTTTTAATCGCAAGGCTAACCTTTCACCCCATGACTACTCTTATTATAATCATAATTGTGAACTAGAGATATGATCTCTGTATTAACACAAAGTTGAATGCATTTTATGATTTTGTGAAAAACAGCTTTTCAATAAAAGTTTCCCCTCAGTATCCACAAGGAATTAGTTCTAGAACCTCACAGTTACCAAAATCTGTGGATGCTCAAATTCTTCATATAAAATGCTGTAGCATTTGCATATAATCTAACTTATACTTCAAATCATCTCTGGATCATTTATAATAGCTATTACAGTTGGTGCCGTGGCTCAACAGGCTAATCCTAAGCCTAGCACTGCCGGCACACTGGGTTCTAGTCCCGGTCGGGGCGCCAGATTCTGTCCCGGTTGCCCCTCTTCCAGGCCAGCTCTCTGCTGTGGCCAGGGAGTGCAGTGGAGGATGGCCCAAGCGCTTGGGCCCTGCACCCCATGGGAGACCAGGCGAAGCACCTGGCTCCTGCCATTGGATCAGCGCAGTGCGCCGGCCGCGCAGGACATTGGAGGGTGAACCAACGGCAAGGCAAAGGAAGACCTTTCTCTCTGTCTCTCTCTCTCACTGTCCACTCTGCCTATCAAAAAAAAAAAAAAAAAAAAAAAAAAAAAAAAAAACAAAACAAAACAAAAAAAACCCTATTACAATATAAATGCTATGTAAATATTTATTACACTGCATTGTTTAGAGCATAATGACAATAAAAAAAATCTGCATTTGTTCAGTAAAGATGTAACTTTTTTTAAAAAAATGTTACGGGTCTGAAAGTGATTTAATCTGTGGATGTGGAATCTGTGAATACAGAGGGCTGACTGTAATGTGCTAATCTCCTTGATTATTGTAAATTAACAAATATGATTGTTCTGAATGGGAAGAATACAGAGTCTTGGTTTGGTCCAATCGTCCTGTAGTCCACTGTTCATCCCCTGCTTTTTGTCATAAACCTTAATAATCCATTTTACTTTCTTTCGTGATCCTCTATGCTTTGCTTTCTACTCTTGAATAAGGTATGCATGTTAAGGTTCATTCAAAAATAACAAGACAAAGACTTATAACTACTGAAACATATTTCCTCTTTTATATACTAAACCACCTCAAAAATCTTGTTGTAACTCCTACCATAACAATGAAATAAAAGTGAATATGGCTAAATCAAGATACATTTACACAAAGTAGCCCAAAGTTGGTTTTGAAAGTTTTTCATTACTTATCATTAGGTGAAGTTAAAACAAGGATGGGAAGATTGGAAAAATCATAGTTTAAACAAAATGATATACAAATCTAGGTGTAACTGGAAATTATGACACATAATGACTTACTGGTGTGTTATCACATTGCCAGTCTTGTTTTAGTGTGTTCAAGCCAGAAAAGTCTATGATAACTCTGATCTTCCATTTGGAATTTAATCCCCTGGGTGTCCATGACAGCCCATCAAACTGTAAGAACTGCAGAAGTAGTATTTGTCTGAATTGCTGTGGCATTTACAAAAGCCAAAAATCAATGTTTGCTTTTAGGCAAAGAAAGAGATAAAGAAAATAACAGCTTTTGTTTTTTAAAAAGATAAGGAAATAAAGCACGAAATTGTGTTTAGATAAAAGCAATGCCTCCTAAAATGTCAGAATAGGGGTATTTCTTCCCTGCAAGATCTCAACATTTTGAGAAATTTTGAGGATGAAATCATTTTCTGGTAAGCATATTAGATTACATTTAAGAGAGTTAAGAGTCTATCCTTTTGTTTTTGTTTTAAAAAATCACCTGTGGTGCCAGCATTGTGGTATAGCAGGTTAAGCTGCCACCTGTGGCATAGGCATTCCTTAAGGGTAACAGTTCGTGTCCCAGCTGCTCCACTTCCAATCCAAGTCCCTGCTAATGCACCTGGGAAAGCAGTGGAGGATGGCTCAAGTGTTTGGACCCCTGAAACCCACATGGAAGACCCTGAAGAAGTTCCTGGCCCCTGGATTCACCCTGGGTCAGCCCTGGCTGTTGTGGCCACTTGGGGATGGAAGATACTTCTTTCTCTTTCTCTCTCTCTGTCTCTCCCTCTCTCTAACTCTGCTTTTCAAATAAATACAAATAAATTGTTTTTAAAAATCACCCATGTATTTTTTTTTTTTTTTGAAAAGCAGAGTGGACAGTGAGAGAGAGACAGACAGAAAGGTCTTCCTTTTTGCCGTTGGTTCACCCTCCAATGGCCGACGCAGCTGGCACGATCACACTGATCCGAAGCCAGGAGCCAGGTGCTTCTCCTGGTCTCCCATGTAGGTGCAGGGCCCAAGGACTTGGGCCATCCTCCACTGCACTCCCGGGCCATAGCAGAGAGCTGGCCTGGAAGAGGAGCAACCGGGACAGAATCCGGTGCCCCGACTGGGACTAGAACCCGGAGTGCCGGCGCCGCAAGGTGGATGATTAGCCTAGTGAGCCACAGAACCGGCCACCCATGTATTTTTATATATCACATTAACCATCATTATAAAAGCATGGGAATATATTTTCTCAAGATTTATTTTTTAAAAATCTGCAAAATTCAATCCATTTTACCACTAGTTCCTACCATGAACCTAGAATGATTCCACTTAAAATAAATTCTTTGGGCACTAGGAAACTTCTGGTATTGTGGCACCAGTTCTCTGGTTGACTGGGCCTGTCAGCTATGAACATGCTCTACCACAAGATTCATAATGGGGGATTCTAGAATTTTGCCGTATTTCCTCACATTGCTGGAGTTGTTTCATTGCCTAACAGTCGTGACTTACATATTCTAGTTCTGACACTACAGTCTGAAAATAATCTAATCTCCATCCTTCACATTACTAAACCTGGTTAGTGTCCCCTCCAGGATTCTTTTTTTTTTTTTTTCTTTTTTTGGACAGGCAGAGTGGACAGTGAGAGAGAGAGACAGAGAGAAAGGTCTTCCTTTGCCGTTGGTTCACCCTCCAATGGCCGCCGCGGCTGGCACGCTGCGGCCAGCGCACCGCGCTGATCCGATGGCAGGAGCCAGGTACTTATCCTGGTCTCCCATGGGGTGCAGGGCCCAAGCACTTGGGCCATCCTCCACTGCCCTCCCAGGCCATAGCAGAGAGCTGGCCTGGAAGAGGGGCAACCGGGACAGAATCCACGCCTGGACCGGGACTAGAACCCGGTGTGCCGGTGCCGCAAGACGGAGGATTAGCCTAGTGAGCCGCGGCACGGGCCCAGGATTCTTTCAAGAACAAGGTGTGGCATATTCCAAGGTATCTTAAGCGAGGGCTATCTGTGCTATATTTCACTTTTCCAGAATATAAACCTTCTTTTTGAGAACTCTGGCAATTCAATTTCATACTGTGAGTTATGCAA